ATGTAAGCACAAATGGAGTGTTTTGTTGGAACTAAGTCTTGGTGATCATCCTCTTAATAATGTCTACAATATGATGTGTTGCATGTGATGATGATCTCTTGATAAAGTCTCCATAATTGTCAAAAATGAAGTATTTTGTCAAGGCTTTAATAGACATTATTTAGTCATGTTTTATTTTGGATAAAATTATAAGATGATATATATGATTTGTTTTTGTGGCCATGAACTTGACGTGGTAGGAAATTAAAGGTGAATACGGTAAAATGATTTATGAGAGCTAAACATGTATTTTAAAATTAAATTGGATGATTTGATTAAAGCCTAAGTCTATGAATATGGTTTTGAGAAAACTACATAGTCTTGTAAGGTCCATTAAGTCTTTATAAAAATCATTTTAAATTGTCATACTATTATATAACTATTGCTTGTGAATGCATATATATATACCAAGTCAATTTTTTTATTAAAAAGAAAAACATTGTGTCTTGAAGGTATTTATAAAAGTGAGAGAAAAACAATCATGCACTGTTTTTTTTTAAATACCTATATGCCTTGACCCATGTTTTTAGTTATTTAGAATCCTTGATTACCTAAGACTTTGAACCATATGGAATGTTGTAGGAATTCCATCATGCTAGGCTTCTTTGACACATGTTGTGTTGATTGAATAACTTGATTTGTATGAATTTACTACCAAGATGTCTAGTGTGGTTGAACTTTTGTGGTTCATGAAAGTTTTTTCATATTGTGAAACCAACGGGTATTGAATTACATATTGAGTGAGACTTAATATGCTACCTCATAATATATATATAAGAATGTTGAGAATGTATATGTTGTATGTACAATAATTGAGTGGGAACTACTACAGTCCGACGTTTTTTTAGCTACTTGGATAGTCAGATATACAGGTGCAAGCTATTTCACAAATCCAAATGACGCGAAGTCTACATCTAGATTTGTGTTTATGCTTGGAGGGGGTGCAGTTTCTTGAAAATCAAATAAACAGTATATGATGAAATTGTCCAGCATGGAGGCAGAGTACGTGACGTGCTGTTTGGAGATCAAGGAAGTCGTATGGATTAAGAAATTTTTTAATCGCCTTGATTTTCACCTTGTCCATTGTGAGGTAATAAGAATTTTTTGCGACAGCACAATAGTGATATGCGTGTCAAAGGAGCCACGATTCCATAAGAACTCAAAGCATATAAAATCATGTTTTTATCACCTGATGAATGAGGTGAGATTGAGAAAGATCGAGATCTAGATAAACTAAGTATTCCAATGGGAGCACCTGCTAGTATTTGACACGTTAGATGGAACAATAAACTATAATGTTGTTTACCCACGTAACTCAAATGTGCTGTGCCGGTTGTATGGTTACAAAAGGGAGCAACTTATTGAAGAACTCTTTTGAGCCCATGAACATACGACCCCATGCGATGAGGGTACGCGATGATCTTCTGCGACAACATGTCTATGATTCGCGATGCGATGTGAAAGATGAACTACGACTACTTTTGGGATGAGATCCGAACAACAAAGAGAAAAATGTATTGCCTCTATAAATCTTTTTGTGAAAAGATTAATGACGAAAGTCATGATTAATGTATTGAGAGAATAAGTAAAAATACTTGAGAGATATTGTAATTGGGAGAAAGAGATGGGAATGAGAGAAAGTGAGAAAGAGAGAATATAAGGCATTCAAGGGGCAAGTGAGAGATGTTGGGTTTATGTGGCCTTTAATGGCCTTATGAGTGCTTGTAAAATGAAATAATATAGTGAAATATGAACTTAGTGAGAGTGTGGTCTCTTGTAGACCATACTAAACAAATGATGTTTGTTGATACCAGACTATGCTTGACGATCTAGACCAGTCAGTTGGAAAACCCAAGGTATCTGGGCATAAAGAATAAACCAAAAAGGGTTCTGGGTTATCCCTTGATAAGGTTGAAGCTTATGCCTGGATGAATGAGGCGAGGGACTATGTGCCCCTTGTGTGTGATGGTGGGCCTATAGAGACAGGAGCCAAAACCTCATCCATGATCCATCATACGACATGCATATCGATAGATTGTTCGAGAAAGTCAGATATCCATATTTTAGGGTGAAGCGTATGCATGCGCGAGAGATACCCATATATGCCATAGAGTTATCGTCGCATAAGGTCTTGGTGACCTTGACTCATCTCTTGAGGATGACCTGAAATCCACAGACTGGGATTGCGACCCCTTGACTCATCAGCCAGACTTTGGTGACCCGCCAATGAACCCCTGCTTGGACTGTGGGTCATGGGAAGCACTGGGTCGGTTTGATAAAGCAAGTGTGGTCCATAGTCTACAGTTGAAGGTGGAGTGCCTCATGATTTTTAATTCAATTCCTAAACCATATGGATCCATTTCACATTATATTAATTTAATTATATTTTTTTTATGATAGAAATTGTTTTAGAATTATTATTTGAATTTTTATGAGTATTTTGATATTTTATTTATAATTTTTAGACTTATAAAAATAAAGTTATTGATTTTACAAAAATATAAAATTCAAACAATATTGTAAAAATTAATTTGTTAAATATCACGGGGCCCTATAGTGCACATGGGCCCATCATGTACCATGTGGGTGGGGCCCACATGTCCCACACATGGGTGGCACGCCCCACCTCTTGGTTGTTTGTTTTATTATCAAGTTATTCAAATTTAGGAAATGTATCTTGTAGCATGTGATCTAATATTAGATATGGAAAAGATTTACCACATCTTATCCTAAATATTGAAAGTATATATTGACTTACATATCTTGGAATAGTATGGAAAAAAATATGTTATTTTATAGAATGAATAATATTTAAATAAGATTCAATTTATTTAAATATATTGATGGGAAAATGGTTTAAGGAAATGGGGATAATGCTCTAAGTACCTTCCATAATGTTGATAGCCCATATATAAAATGTATGGCTCAGATCTCTCACTTCGCAAGTTACCTTGATCAACGATCCATACTCAATATTAAGAAAAAGACAAACTATGAGAAACCCTAAACATAATTTTTGTCTATAAATATGGGTGCACTCTTTCTCTATTCGTTATACTTTCTCTATCCCACAACTCTTTCTCTCCTCTCTCTCTTATAGGGGTGCACCCCATTCTCTCTCCTCTGGGTCTCTCTCTGTACAACTTTCACACTTTAACCCTCTCTCTCCTAAGCCTCTAGAGGGGCATGCCTCAACTCTAGGCCTCCCACTTTTTCTCTTATGCTTTAAAAATACTAAGGGTTGAGAAATTAAGGGTAAGCCAAGAAAATTTTGGGGGTTAGAGTTTGTAGAGATTTAAGGGTGAATACTTAGTTTGGCCAAAATTTTCTTTCTCAGTTCGAGATTGAAGCTCAACTGTTGATCTCGCGCCATCAGATGTTGGTGACTTGGTATAGGGTATAATAAGGCCAACTGAGGTAATCTCTGGCACTCTTTTATTTTTATTTCTTGCTATATTTTATTATATTAATTTTATATTCCCAGGCATAAAAATTTTGGATATTTTCTTTGTTTAAAGAAAATTGGTTTAATGGCATCAAGGTTTTTAAGATATTAGATTTGTTAGTTTTATTTTCTTTGAAGTAAGAATTATTGTAATAAGATTACTTGTAAGTGATCTTTGCCAAAAGAAAAAAAAAAAAAAAATGGGTGAAAAAAATAAAAATAAAAAAAAAACATATTTCTCGACAAGATCGCATTTGTCTTTCTTTCAGGCATGTTATGATGCTTCACCTCTCTGACCACCAAACCTTGAGGCCCTAACATATATTAGTAAAAGTTATGTTGGCTTTCTATGTATCTAGATTACATGCCCCCTAAAACAGTAATATGTGATATTTGTATGTGTGATTGTCTTCCCTACCCACGAATTTCATAGAATTATCACCCCTATTCTTGTCATATAATGTGTGTGTTTGTTTGGTCAAGAATGACCAAATTAGAAAGCCTTCTAGGTCCAATTTTGCCTACTTGGTGCGTTGAAAGTTGCTGAATTGCAATGCTTACATTTCTTTTTGGGTCTGTACACCATAAGATTATTTTTCTGTCTTTGTTATAAGGCGGTCACAATTGTTCATGACAATTACATGTCAAATCATAAAGCTTAGGTTACGTTGCAAAGTAGGGCTGGCAATGTGCCACTTGGTCCAGTCTTAAAAACACCGGGATTCAGACCACCAAATATGGCCCGTGGATAGATCCAACCCTGGCCTGGCCCATTATTTTCCTTCTTTATTTTATTTGGCCAATCCCACGATAGGCCGGCCTTGTTGAGGGCTCAAGGCTAGGGCCAAACTTGTGTCAGGCCCTCTTCAGCCCGGTATAGGCAGCACCAGGATGGGCTCAGGCCGACCATACTGGGACTAGGGCTAGGGTTGGCCCGGCCCGTTGCCCCCCATTGAAATTTTGTTTTGAACTTCAGTTTGGTCAATGACATATCCCCAACTGTCTATTTTTAAATGTATCAAAGATAAATGGTCTTATTCAATACTTTTTATTTATTTTTTGTTATTTAGGCAATTGTATTGGTAATTGAATTTTGGCATTAAACTAAAGAAACAAACCAAAAAGTGACTTCGAGATCTTGAGGCCGGGGGTGATGGTAAAGTGAAAAGAAAGTGCATAAAGAAATTAGCCTGTTTAGCGTACTTGGGTATGTACTTTGGAGTATCTTCTCAATCTAAAATTTTGAATTCATTTTTAAAAACATCAAAATGGGCATTTAAAAAAGTAAATGAAAGCGTTATGAGTTTTTTAGATCCGACCATCCAAAAATTAGAAAATCTCTACTTAATACTATATATTATTCTTTCATACGCATATAAAATGTATACATATAAAATGTATATTCTTATTTCTTTTGACAATGCCCATTGGTTTGAGGAGGTTACATGCCTCAAATTTAAGCCCCTAACAATACCCCACATTTTTATTTTACGGAACTTGTGGTGCGCATCTTTACCTTGCTTTGGTAGCCCAGTAGATAGCCTCCAATTGCAGCTCCCTAGGGAACAAACAAAAAAGGTATGTAAAGATATAAATGTTGCTAGGCAACTTAAAAAGAGAAGAGAAACATGTATATCTCTTTATATATAGGGATTATATACTATGGGATTATTTATCTTTGTTACAAGGAGGTCAAAATTGCTAGTAGCCATGCGATGTCAGATTAGAAAGCTTGGTGTGTGTCTTAGAGTTCGAAACATTTCTTTTGAGCTTTGTATCTGCTTAAAAACAAACTGACAACTAGTCAATTTGAAATCTAACAGAAAAAAAATGATTGTGACCACCTTGTACTAAAATTAAGGGATCGTTTACAAAGAGACTATTTATCTTTTGTACAAAGAGGTCACAGCCACTCTTGTCCCTAAAATTTCAAAATGAGTGGTTGTTAGAGTGTCATTGAATAGACACAAAGTTTCAAAATTTTTTTATCATACTTCGTGACTTACCTCAAGCCATTTAATTTGAAATATAATGAGTATGAATAGTTGTTAATTCTTTATATAAAAAATAAATAGTCTCTTTATAGACAATCCCTATAAGTAAATGGTCTCTTTTTTATACTTCTGCACACTTATATATTAGTGTATGGAACATACCTGTGAAAATCCAAGAAACCCATCAAATGGTCCATTCTTCTCGATATAATCACACAAATAAGAAATGCAGGAGTCTAGATTTTGATAAGCTGTAAAATCCTGGTGAACATAATAAATTATCAAAAAAAAAAAATTAGATACTTGCCCTTTCTCTATTAGGACTTTTACAGATATGAATAATCCACCACTTAGGACAAATTAAAATAAAAATCATCAAAACACCCATCTAAAATGATTGATTGAATTACGTCCAAATTGCATCATATCAAATAGTGATGCCATTCTCATGTTTGTTCAAGGACTGAAACTAACTCAAAGGGAAAATATCAAAAGATTGCTACAGATCTGGCATCTCTTATTATATTTTGGTATCATTTTTTGGGGGGATGAAGTTGCCCTTATCATAAATATATGAGAAATTTAGTAAATTCCATGTAATGAGTTAAGAGTTGAGACTAATCTAACCAATCAAATATATGAGAAAGTTTATATAGAGCCGAGGCTCTAAACAATCAAATTTAAACCTACCTAAAAAATTTCACTAGAAGAGGTTGTCTTGATGCCCAAATATCCTCAAATCGATCATCTCGATATCAAGATGCACAGACATGAGAAAAAAAATGGATTTCAAGTTTTGAAAATAGTGCATTTTGTAATGCGTTTTTGTACCGTCAGTTTTCATGATTTTCAAGTTTTCATATATGTATCAATCTACACTATTTTTTAAGCTTTAAACTTTATAAATAACGATAAAAATATATTTTGAGGCTATCACAAATATTTTCAGTATTGAAACTACATTTCTCGACACCATTTGAAGGTAGGGTCTAATTTGATTGTTTAGAGCCTAGGCTCCATACAAACCGCACCCAATTTTAAATAGCCCATCATTTTTATATCTAATTTTAAATAGCTCATCAAAGGAGTCAGAAATTGCATGCAATTGTTGGAGAGGTGAAATGTTAAATATTTGATCTCTCACAGGTGTTTTGCTAATTTGCTAAAATATAATAAAGCTTTTGATTATACCTTCTTTGAGAAGGTTTGGCTCTAAGTGGAATAAACACAAGGCATATGCAGTCAGGGTGGTGGGTACCATACCATGATATCTATGACTTCATACTTCTTTGTAGAAGTTGTGATCCCTTCTTTCAGGTGACCATGCGCACGAGAGTGCATAAATCATGAAGTTTGGTAGGTTGCATGGTTGAGAATTGGTTCTCTCTTTTCACATAATAATTGGTATCTTAACTTCTCAAAGAAATAATAATTTGTATCTCAAAAATATTACAGAATTATAATATTAGAACAAAACCAAAAATATTTCGACCCCCTCGTAGCTAAGGATGGCAACAGGTTGGGTCTAAGCCAGTCCAGCCTTGGCTAGGACCGACCCGCCCCAAACCCCCACAGGGCCTACCGAAGCCCAGCCCTAGCCATGTTAGGACTGGGCTGGGCTAAAAACAATAAAAAAATATTTAAGAAAAAGCAAGAAAAAAAGAGGACCGGGCCAGGCCGGACTGGGCTGGCATTTGGCCAGCATGGGAGCTCGGGCCACAGTTTGTGTCTTATGCCCTACTTCTTTAGGGTCAGGCCAGGCAGCCATTGCCCATTGCCAGCTCTATTTGTGGTCACATCCAGGCACGATCTTTACTTAGGGCAATCCCAAAAGTAAGACCTTTTTACTACAGAAGTAGTCATAATCAAGAGGAAAAATATCCAAATTTTGGTAGCATAAAAGCAATGTTTGCTTTTATTATCCTAGAGGCCAAAACATGCATAGTAGACCCTATCCGGGTCCAAATCTTGGATTTGAATACTATTTAGGTTTGGGTCCGATTGGTCCAGGTCTGGGTCTGACCCGTTGCCACCCCTAGAGTACAAAACAGTTCTATTACTGTCACTAAAATAAAAAAAGATGCTCAAATGGGTGCCCTAAAATAATACATAACATGTATATGAATGGATAGCGAAAATAAAGCATTCACCTCATTGAATTGAAACCACTCAAAGTAAGGTGGGGGGAAGATGCCCTCGATCTCTGATTTCCCACTGGCCGGGAATTGTCCATCGAGAAAGACCTTCAAATAAATAAATAAAATTAAAAAAACTTGGAATAAAATCACTTCGAATCAATGTTCTTGAATTTGTTGTGTGGGTCGCAGTCTTCGGATTTTATAGCCGAACTAATGTGAAGCAAATCACTCCTCTCATGTATCAGTATTAATTTCGAAAACGACTTTGATACATTCAAAATTTGGTAAAAGTACCTATATACTATTGGAAGCAATGTTTCAAAACAGGATCAGATCAGTGGGGTAGATTGTCCATCCCCTATATCCCTGTTAGATCGGCAGATTAAAAAATAATAGAAATGATTAAAATAGGGGGTTCGTGTCGGGGGATTTATGGGGGCGAGATAGGAAAAATTAGATTAGCTAAGAAAAAGAAAAAATAATAATAAAAGGGGGTTGTTTTAGGGTGGGGGCACCGGGCTGGTATCGATACCTTCTCAGAACTGGTTTGGTCTGGCCGATTCCAGATCGGGATGGAGTTTTGAAACATTCATTTCAAATTTTTGTATAAGAAACTGTGTGATATTCTAAATTTAGGAAACATACCTTGTATATTAACTTTTTTAAAAAATTCCTAGTAATATCAAGTTTTTAAATTTGTGTCAAAAATACACTCAAAGACTTCTCTCAAAATAATAAAAAAGCCCCTGAAGTGGGTGTGATAATATTAGCAATAAAAAGTAAAAGTGAGTACGATAATATTACTTAAAATACAAAAACAAAAACAAAAAAGAATTAAACCTCATTGGAAGTGATAAAAAGAACACTTACCCAAAAACTTGATACTTTTTAAAATATTTATTAAGTGCCTCCCCAAGAATTTTGTTGAAGATATGATTGCTCTCCTTAGGGCTTTGAGTGAGCAAGAGCTTTTGCTAATTTAACTCATTTGATTCAAATTATTTAAAGGAAAAGTTTCTATACTTCTCCTACTTCATTGAAGAACTATCCTCCCCCTACCATCCAGCCGTCCAATTTTAATCAAGAGAGCTACTCACCGTTTGATGTCTCAAAGTATTTTATTTTTAGTTTTTTTTTTATACAAATTTTATGAATATGAAATTTAGTAAGTGTCATCTTCTCATTGGGGCGCACCTATAAAAATATTAAAAATAACTTTTTGATAAATATAATGACCAAAATACCCCTTGAATCTTTCAAGGATATTTTGGTCATTTTATTTTATTGAAAATATTTTTTTTTTATATATTTTGCTAGTGCAAGTTTAATAGAAGATTGGATGTCCAAAATATGGTGTCAAAATAGTTTATAAAAAAAAATTAAAAATAAAATGGTATAGAGACGTGATATTGTGATTGGGCAATCTTAGGCCTCCATTCAGAATGGACATTTGGATAAGGGGAAGTATATAAGTTTTATGTTGTAGGAAAAGCACAGAAAGCTTGTCCTTATTTAAATACTCTTTTTTGTTGTGGCTAGCCTAGAATAGATTTTTCATTAAAAAATCTTGTTCTAGAGCCAAGTGGGGGACATTTTTGTAATTTACCCCGACACTAGAGCAAAATGATGTAAATAATTTTATTATTTTAGGTTATAAACCCAAAATAAGATTTTTCAGTAAAAGAACAAACAAGTTTAATTATAGTCATTTGGCTCAAATCCCTCAACAAGATGAAATGGCCTCACTTGTTCAGAGTTACAATACTGGAACCAAGGTAATTTTGACTTTTTAATTGTTGAAGAGGTACTTGAGTAAAGGGATTTCCCTTTTACTAAAGTAAAGGGATTTTTAAAATTGGTGCGGTTTGTATGGAGCCTAGGCTCTAAACAATCAAATTAAAGAGCACATTCAAATGGTGTCGAGAAATGTGGTTTTAATACTGAAAATCATTGTGATAGCCTCAAAATATGTTTTCATCTTTAGTTATAAAATTTAAAGCTTTAAAAATAGTGTAGATCGAGCAGATCTATGAAAACTTGAAAATCTTGAAAATTGACGGTCAAAAAATGCATTACAAGATGCACTACTTTTCAAAACTTGAACTCCATTTTTTTCTCATGTCTGTGCATCTTGATGTCGAGATGTTTAATTTCAGGATATTTGGGCATCAAAACGACCTCCTCTAATGAAATTTTTGAGATGGGCTCTAATTTAATTGTTTAGAGCTTCGGCTCTATATAAACCTTTCCCCTTTTCAAATACACCCCCCTTTACTAGTGTTTATTTAACCAACTTGTTAAACCCCCCTGAACACTACTTTGTTAACACCCTTCCCATCCCCCCCTCAAACAATTTTTTAAAACACTAAAAAAAAACCAGTACTATTTTTTTTTTTTACTACCCCCAAGTTTAAAACGATATTTTTTAGGTCAAAATACCCCCATTTGACCATGTTAAGAACACCTGCTTCTTCTTTTTTATCTTTTTTTTTTTTTTGTGCCGGATTGAAAAATGACTCCACACTGCTCTAACAATAAAAATGTATCGGACCTAAATGTGCCGGACCAATCTGGCACATTGGTTTCATAGTGCCGGTCAAGCAACCAGACCGAAAAATAAGTTTGCTCCGATACAACAAATGTGTCAGGCCAGTCCAGCACATTGATTTCATAGTACTGGTTTCTCTCATCTTTGATCACTATGTTTCACTAATTTGTTCATAGGCATCGAAATATATTACAGAGAGAGAGAGAGAGAACCAGTTCGAAGCCGGCGACGATTTGAGGATCCCACTTCCCAATTTGCTTCTGCAGAAAGCTCCCACTGGTTCGAAACCCATGGAGGCATAAGATCTTCATTCTCTCTCTGTGTTTTGACAAGCTCTCTCTCTCTTTCTCTGTAATTTTCTGTCTAGTGACTCCAAACTGCCATACCTAATGAAGAGGCCATCACATTCATATCTACCTTTCAAATTCCATTGTGAACTCACCTACCTCCAAGTACAGGGGCGTGGTTTGTATATAGCCCGAGGCTCTAAACAAACAAAATAAAGCGCACCTTTAAATAGTGTTGAGAAATGTGGTTTTAGTACCAGAAATCTTTGTGATAGCCTTACAATATATTTTTATCTTTAATTATAAAATTTAAAGCTTCAAACAAAAATAGCTTAGATCAGATCAGATCTATACAAACTTGAAAGCTTTAAAAATTGGCCGTCCAAAAATGTGTTACAAGATGCATTGTTTCAAAACTTGAAATCAAATTTTTTTTTGGTGTCCATGTATCTTGATGTCGAGATGATCAATTTGATGATATTTAAACATTAAAATAACCTCTTTTAATGAAATTCTTGAGGTGCTCTAATTTGATTGTTTAGAGCCTAGGCTCTATATAAACTTTTTCCCTAAATAAATAATTTATGTAAATTAGTGTGAGAGAGATATTCTCTACCTTCCGGTCTTCGTTAACATTTTAATTCTCTCTCTTTATTTAACAAACCCCTTCTCGATTTGCATGCTTTTTATTTAGAAAAAGTGCTTTGTGAGTCAGCGGACTCACTGGCCCTCACAATAACAAACGCGAATATTTAAAATTGAGGATCCACAACTAAGGATTCCTATCCAATGGATACCAAAATATTCTAATAAAAATATACAAAAATATTTAAAAATTTTATTTTATTGTATTTTATTTTTTATATTCATGAGATCATGGATCACTACAAATTTGCATCCAAGATCGATACAAATAATGGGTGTTCAAGATTACCAAGGTTACCCGCATGAAGATATTATGACTCGTGGGAATGATAAAAATTGGATCCTTTTATTTAAGACCCGTTTGGTTCTCAAAAAATGTGTATTGTTTGGAATTGGTATCACTTGGAATTTACATCTCCTAGAATATAGGTATTTGTTATTTCGATCAGTGTTCGTAAAATCGAATCGGAACGGTTAACCGGACATGGGCCTAGAGGTGGTTTAATCGGCCTAACCGGTAGACTAGTCGTTTCAACCGTTCTAACCGGACAAGTACCGGACGTTCAAAAAATTATTGAAAAAATAAAATAGAAACAAAAAAAAAATCTATTAAAATATAAAAAGCATATAAAGAATGATTAAAACAAAACACATTCAAATGAAGTTGAAAATTAATGGAAAAAAATAGATTTTAACAAATCAATTTTAATTAAAGTGAGTATTAATGACAATTTATTTTTTTTAATCTTTACTATAATGTAAGGAATATTAAAAAAGTATTACAAATCAAATTCTTTATTTTTGGGAATATCTATACTTTTTTTTAAAAAAATACCGGTCTATCACCAAAACCGCCCAAAACTGAATCTGACCATTGGCCGGTTTCGATCTAACTGGGAGGTTAGCGATTAGATCGCCTAGTTTTTCTAACAATGGTCAAGATAGTATCCAGTAAGAGACCCGGAAGATGCATCTTGACACGTCTCATGAAAATCATATAATAGAATATAAGTAATATATACTATATTGGGTGTGGTTTGTATCGAGCCAAGGCTCTAAACAATCAAAGTAAAAACGTACCTTCAAATAGTATCGAGAAATAGGGTTTCAATATTGGAAATCTTTATGATAGCCTTAAAATATATTTTCATCTATAATTATAAAATTTAAAGCTTAAAAAATAGTGTAGATCGAGCCGATCTATGAAAACTTGAAAAATCTTGAAAATTGATGGTCCAAAAATGCGTTACAAGATGCACTATTTTTAAAAATTGAAATAATTTTTTTTTTCTCATGTCCATGCATCTTGATGTCGAGATGATTAATTTGAAGATATTTGGGCATCAAAACAACTTATTCTAGTGAAAATTTTGAGGTAGGCTCTAATTTGATTGTTTAGAGCCTCAACTCTGTATAAACGTTTTTCTATAATATTATATTATTATATAATTAGTCAATTTAGGTTTTGCAAATTATTTTTCTGATATTTTTATTAGATTCTTCTATTTTTAAAGAATGGACACTCAAAATTTCACGTGATTTGAATTTGTAGAAAAAACAAAAACTAAATTCAAATACGAAATGCAATCGTGACCATCAGATCGACCCATATTCAATTTGGGTCATTGGGCTTACTCTGTTCCTTCTGCTAGTGGGCTGACCTTAGCTTTTTTTTATTGTAATATACAAATTACTAAACAATGAGGTATTTATCTTTGGTACAAGGAGGTCACAATTACTTATAGGAAAGTATAGAATGAGATCATTTATCTTTGACACAAAGTGATCACATTAATCTTGACCATTGGATGTGAAATTAGGTGGCTACAATTATTCTATTGACCAAGCTCAAACTTTGAAAGAAATTTTCTCGAACAGTGACACATCTAAGCTATCAAATTTTACATCTGATGATTGTTAGTAATTGTGACCACCTTGTATCAAAACTAAATGGTCTCATTGTATATAATCCTTTATTTATAACCATCTAATGTGAAATTTGATTACTTGAGTGTATAACAAAGTTTGAGAAATTTTCTCTTAAACTTCAATTTTGATAAATGGAATAAATACAGCCAACCAATTTTACATCCAATAGTTAAGATTAGTTGTGACCACCATGTACAGAGGTAAATGATCTCATTTATACTTTTCCTTATTTATATACAGTATTATAAAATTAATTATAATTATAATAAATATATTACCATAGTTATATATA